CTTTTGTCCAAAAAAAACAAACAACATTTTTTTCACAGCACCCCCTGTTCAAAATTACTTCCAGCGGCCCTGTGCTCGTCTATACATGGTGGCCACAATTCACTAATTAACATGCACATGGAAGGTACACTGAAGCAGAGCTCAAGCACGTTGACTGTATACTTAAAGCCTGTATACTCTACAACCTATTATGGTCACATATCTGTAGTGATAAATATTTTAATAGCGTTAGTTATTGCTTTGGCACAGTCCTAATCTGCAGCGAAAGGCTGCCTGAACACTGGGAAGATGGCCCTGCCTTCCAGTCTGTTATTTGTCTCATTCAACTAATCAACATATTCAAGTGATGCTGTCGTAAATGACTTAGCATGTTTTAAGTGTTTCCACAGACATGCTCGACTTCATTTGAACAATGTTCAACTACAGTTTGACACCAATCTTTGTCCATTTTCACTAGCTTATGCTCCCATATAGTGGATCAAAATGGCTAGGGAGGATCGTCCAGGTCGAGTCGTTCATTTGTGTTTGCCATTCGGATAGCAGCAACACTACAAAAAACTTTAACATATAGGAAAAATGGGAGAAACCTAGTGAGAGGCCATTCAGACAGATTGCCAATGACTGAAGAATGAAGGTGCAGTTGACATTAAAATATATATTGTTCAACAATTTGAAATCCTATTTTGCATGACAAATAGTGAATAGGATTTGTACAGCATTCTTGGAATTCTTTTCTTTTCTTTTTTTTGTGTGAGTAACACAACAAAGTAAACTGACAAACAAACAAATCCAATGAAAATAGTCAAAACAAACAATAACAATAGTCAAAACAAAAGTAATAATGTGAACCCACATGTCCGAAAAGGAGTAGGATTTAAACCTACCCCTTCTCCACTACTCAATTAACAATCTTTCTCCCCAACATACGTATTTACATAAAAGAAAAAAAACTAGAAAATAAATAGATCAAATAAACAAATACATAAATAATTTATGAAAACACCCGATTGTTAAAGCCCTTCTTCCTCCCTGTACCTCGTGAAAACCATGTGTTTGTACCGCTTTTTAAACTGGATCATGCTTGGACATTGCTTGAGCTCCACACCCAGTCTGTTCCATTCATGGGAGAGGATGTTCGAAATGACAAGCTCATACATAAAATACATACGTAAAAAAACTGCAGCATATTTAATTGTCATTGCATTGTTTGAACTGAAGATACTCTTCACTGTTTCCGTTACAAATAGTAAAGAGGATTTGCACAGCATGGACACAAATTCTTACATTAAATACCGATCAGAACATTTACATCTCTGATTTATTACAAAATAAATGACGATATATTAGCATCACTAACGTCACTATTACTCTAACATCACTTTTAATACACAAGATTGCATTGGTTTGACAGAACAACCTCTTCAGATGTATAGAGATTTCTTTCATTTTTAGTCCATATATAATTGGATTAAAGAGAGGATGATACAAAACAGCTTGTAAAGTCATTATTAAACGTACTATTTTTGGAAAATCAGATCCCAGTCGAGCTATAATGATATCATATGAACACAAACAGGAAAAGCTGATTAAAACCAACAGGTGGGGTAAACAGGTCTGTGCAGCTTTTTTTCTGACATTTCTACAACTTTGATAACATATTACAAGTATCCTGGTGTATGTGAAAAGTATGAAGAGCAAAGGGAAAATCCCAATGTTTAGCAGAGCAATAACACCAAATATAGATATTGCTTTTGAAGTCACACACTGGAGACTGTAAATTGAATTGTTACAAAAAATTCCTTTTAAAGTGAAATTACACAGTTTCATATCAGCACTCAGTATTGCTGGGACTGCAGTCTGACAAGCAGGCACAAGCCAAGCTAAAGCCAGGAAAATACTCACTGTAGTTTTTGTCATGATAGTTGGATATTGCAGAGGTTTACATATAGACACATACCTGTCATAGGCCATGGCTGCCAACAGTAAGAACTCTGAACCACTTAAAGAGTAAAATATAAAAAACTGGAAGAGACAGGCTGAATATGATATCATCTGTTTTTTGGATAAAAAGTCAATTAACAACTTTGGGTACATAGCAGTGCTGAAAACAACAGAATTCAGGAGCAAAGCTGCAATGAAAATGTACAGTAGGTCATGGAGGTTGTTGTGCCTCCAGATAAGGCCAAATGGTGAAACTACAGCAGATTTACTTAGAATATATACTGTACTAACCAAAAAAAAAAAAAAAATTAAAAAGGAAAATAAAAAATATTTCTTTTATTTGTTCCACTTCCAGTGTTCCATCAAGAGTTATAATGTTACACGTTAAATTCTCATCCATTAAAGCTTTCTAAAATAAATAATCAGTATAAACAACGCTAGATTGCATGCACAGCATACATCATTCGGATGAATTTAAATAATCTCACTCATGATAAACTAACATCTGTCTGTACTGGAAAGTCTTATTATTCAAAGGTACTGACTTTGAAATGCACCTCATTCTTAGAAAAATTAACTATAAGATCTGTGTAAAGTTTTTATTAGATTGCTTTCACCCTTCCACAGGATCTCATTATACTTTCCACTAAATAGATTCTATATATGTATAAGAAACTTCATGAGTCACAGCAATTCGTTTGACTTCTTTTGTTGTGTGTTAACAGTACTGTTCAACTGTAGGTACCACTGGGACTTTGTTCATTATGTTTGCTTGAACTGAACTTTTACTGTGAAATGTATCTCATTAACTTTACCTACCAGTTGCACCTCTCTTCCAATCACTGGCTGTGAGTGCAGCTAATCTTAGAGAAAGATAATCATGGCATCACCATGAATTGCCAAAGAATCCCTGCCTTCCCTGTTAGAACTTATTAAAGCATTTGACCTTTTGGGTTACACTTTAAACTGTGGGAAACATTAATTCATGCCTCTAACTGCAAATTTGAGTTCAAATTTTCTCAAAAACTAGCCCTTTTGGCGTACCCTAGTAACTCACCTTGTAGAGGTGGTGCCCCATGTACCAAGGCTTGGTCTTTGCTGCAACGGTCTTGGGTTCGAGTCCGACCTTTGACTGGCTCATCATCTACTTTCTCTCACCTGCTTTCCTACCTGTCCTGTGAAAAAAGGCAATAATCTGTCCCCCAAATAAACTGGTCCTTTCACATTCTACAGATAAAACCCTTTTCTAAGTGTACTTTTAAGTACATAACTGTGATATATCACTAGACCCATATACTGCCTATCAACCTTATGCCACAAACAAATTCATTTATTCATTCAACATCTATGGTTCGTCTCAGATCCCCAAAATGTTTGTTGCATGTCAGCCGACGCAGCGCAACTTCTTCACTCGATGATTCCTGTGTTCAAACATGTGGATAATGACAGTGTAACGGTACACAAAATTCAGGATTTACTAATCCTCGGTTTTGGGGTCATGGTTCGGTACGGCAGGGACAACAAAGAAAATGCACAAAACATTTGTCAATTATTTAAAAAAAAATGTAAACTTTATTTATTTGTTTAGTACATAAACATCTTTTAATTAAGCAGATATGTTTCACATACAAAAATGAAAATTTCAACAGTGGCTCATTGGCCTAGTTCTTACTGTAACACTTAACACACTCAAATACTGCCATATTATCAGTAAGCAAAAGAAATAACACAAATGTTAGCTAGGGCTGCCGCTTTTTATTGTAAATTTAAAAATGTGTTCAATTGCGGTTCATTTTTAAAGGGTTTGGATTTACAATTTAGCATCTATAAGCTATTTGAAGTACTCTGCCTTATGATCCTGCAGAGGGCACTCAACTATCTATGGCATGCCCTGTTGACCTGTCAGTAAACTAAGCTGGTAATGTCATGTTGTTTACTACGAAAATGGAAGATACAAGCGAGGAAAGCATGGAGCAAAGCCATCCTGAGCAGACGATGGTGACACCAAAGCATCTGAGCAGCTTCTGTCGACTTCAGCTGTCTAACTCTACAACAACCACAAATCTGTACACTGTCTTGCTAACGTTAGCTTGGTACTGTAGTGAGGCAGCCGGCATCGTCTGACTGCTACTATTGAGAACATTTAGCTTGAGCAGGCCGCTCACCAGGGGCTTGTAAAAATGCCAACACCAATATGAAAGCAAGATCTATAGGCAAGGATGTGCTGATATGCGGCCTATTGGTGTGGTAAGAGAGTATATGTCTTATCCTTTAGTGTCTGTTGTGTGTCATTCAAAATTAGTTTAAAGGTGATTTTTGGGATAAGTGACAGCCCTAATATCAGGAATGCTCCTTTGTAAGACTTCTTTATACACAGAAGCACAACTGACTGACGGACATGCACATGTAAACTGACAGCCTAAGTATGGTTGCATCTGTGATAGACACAGCTACAGCTGGTAGACAACTGGTGCAATGCCAAAACTTTCTCTAGAATGAGTAGTATACATTAATAGACTATTCTTTGGGGTTTCCTTTTTAATAAACTTTGTTTATTAAGTTTTTTATTGAAAGTGCTTGTCAGTGATTGTGTCATGTTATAGTGCTGCAGCCTTTAATCAATAGTGTCAGCTGAAGAGTGACAGAGAGAGGGGATGACATGCAGCAAAGGAAAACAGGTCGGATTAAAACCCGGGCTGTTGCAACAAGGTCTCAGACTTGGTACATGAAGCGCCAGCTCTACTAGGTGTGATATCTGGGCGCCCCCATATTTCACGTATTACAGTAAACATAATAACCTCACTCTTCAGTAAGTAAATACATTTAAAACAAAAGTTATAACAACAAGTAAGAAAGAACAAATTTGATCTTATTCAGGGATAGCTGAGAAAGTAATTGAATGATGTCAATGGGCTTCATATGCCTGCATTAACAACAGTCTCAAACCCAGCCCAGCCTGTTTCAGAAGATAAGGTAAAAAACTAAAATCTTAACATGTAAGAAAAATGGGAGAAACTTTGGGAGAAAATGAACTCAATGGGATTCATATTACTTATAACTTTTCATTAACACAATTACTCTAACATCACTTTTAATACACAAGATAGCATTGGTTTGACAGAACAACCTCTTCAGGTGTTTAGAGATTTCTTTCATTTTTAGTCCATATATAATTGGATTGAACAGAGGATGATACAAAACTGCTTGTAAAGTCATTATTAAACGTACTATTTTTGGAAAATCAGATACCAGTCGAACTATAATAACATCATATGAACACAAACAGGAATAGCTGATTAAAACCAACAGGTGGGGCAAACAGGTCTGTGCAGCTTTTTTTCTGACATTTCCACAACTTCGATAACATATTACAAGTATCCTGGTATATGTGAAAAGTATGAAGAGCAAAGGCAAAATTCCAAGGTTTAGCAGACCAAAAAAACCAAAAATATATATTGCTTTTGAAGTCACACAGTGGAGACTGTAAA